CTTTCAAATAAAATGAACAAAATAAACTATTTTTTGCTTGATGTAATTGCATATTGCATGTCGACCCCGTTAATTAAATGGGACCGTACCAATAATCTAATTTTTTAACCAAAAGATTATAGATTTTAGATGAGAGTTTAACTTCTTCATTATTCATTATTAAATAGAATTTCACATAATTAAAGTTGGATTTGTTTACAATGAAAGTGGTTTTTCGCAGATCAATAGTACATAGTGGCACGTGGTAGTGTACATTTAGCCATGGGTAATGATGAGCTTTCGGATTGGTTTTTATTTTATATATAAAAATTATCGAAATTATCGTAGCTGTATATTTACTCTTCCACATTGTCCATATTAGATAAGGGTAAAGGAGGCATGAAAATAGTGGACCAACCGACAGCATATGCCAAGAGGGTCAGGTTGTGAGAAATAATTTAATTTCGTCAATCAAACTCCTTCTTTTCAATCCTCGATTCATTATATTACAAGGACATGTGGTCCAACCTCCCATCCTATTTACGCTTTCACTCTACGATCTTCGCTACACTCTCTCTAAACCCTAGATTTAAAAAAGAAGCATGGATATAATTGACTTTAATTTACTTTAAGGTACGTACGTAGTTTATTTCGAGTTGGTTATTAATTGTGTTGTGCAATACTGTTGGTATATGTATGGTTCAGAACTACTATGGTTTGTATGGAGGGGCAACCGGGCAGTATCCTATGTACGGGACAAGCCCTGCAGGCGGAATGGTGACGGGAGCTGCCGCGGCTGCAGCTGCGTTTTACCCGTATCTGCAATACGGATCAGAAGGGAATGGAGGAGCTGCAGCAGCTTATAGTACTACTTCAGGTGTGCAGAACTACGCAACTGGTGTCCAATATCCACACCACCACCACCACCACCTGTTCCAGTATTCGGCCTTGAATTCAACTGGTGTTGGAGGAGGCTACCAGCACTATGGTCCTCCCATTTCTCTTGCGCCCTCACCCGCCTTGCAATCGCCAGGTAATTTGTAATTAACCTAGCTAGACCTGCCCACTTAATCACTGCTAATACTATATATTTTTATTTATTTATTTACAAATGAAATACTTGAGTTTGGTGGAAAGAGGGTACTAATATCTTTGACAGTGTGCTTTGCTGTGCCACAGGCGTAACCATGGCCCTCCCTGCACCAATTCCTCATCGCTAGTCATTGAATCCAAAGTGCGTGCATGGCTCCAATTATTCAAACTCGATTCCATCCTCTTCAGCTGCATATGGCTTCTGAATTTTCAGCAAACCTTTGGCCTAACCATGGTTCACTTCTCCATCTCTTCCTCTCTCTCGCCATCTAACACACAAATTAGCCCCATTTGCAAATGGCATTTGGGCTAGTTAAGCTTTTGCACACATACAAAGCCTCCCATAGGGGCTACATGAAATCATTCTCCACAATTGGCTGGGGTGCATCTCATACTCATGCATTTTCATTTTCCCTTGCATCTTTTTGAAAACACTTTGGGTTCCCTTGAAGAGAACTAAAGCATCTTTCTACTGATCACCAACTCGGGCTATTGGGTATAGCTAAGTTGGGAAAAAAGTTTTTCTTTTCCTTTTTTTTTTATAAATTTTATAACTTCTTAGCCCTGGAGGGGCTGAAGCAACAAAAGAAAAAACCAACCTCATGTAACTTTTGGCCCAGGAAGGCTAAAGAAAGACATAAAATGGTTTGCAAATATTGTAAATTCAACACAAATAGCAAGCCCTTCACTTGGGATGTCAGTCCTAAAATGGCTAATCCCTCCATCTTCAGCTAACCAATCGCCTCAAGAAAAAGAGGCGCAGTTTTAGGAAGGAAAAAAAACATGGGCATGGAATGCCCCAATTGTTTTGGCTGTTAACATCTAGTCTTAGGATTTTAGAACTAGCTAGGAGCAGTCAGTCTTTATAAAGCTTTTCCAAGTTTTTTTTTGTCAAGTTTGTGTCTAACCAACCAACCAACCCACCATCTTCCCTTAGGGTAAGGGGAGGAGGGGAGCAAATCACTAACTCTTTTTTCTTTCTTGTAAATTCATTGTGGCTAAACTATGGGAGTTTTAGCCATTTCACTAATTTTAGGAGGGATAGAATTTGTGTCTTTTTCTTTTTCTTTTGGCATTTTAGCTTTTAGCTAGCTAGCTAGTACATTAATATCATCATACTTTTGAGCACTCCATTGATGGATGTGGAGCTCAAAAGGCATCTGCATGTAACCCTCGGGAGATATTTTGGTTCCCTTGGGTTCGTCTCCACTAACGCACCAACCATGGTTAGGACTTAGGTCAACCTCATCTTTCGTCTTCTCATCTCTCTCTCTCTCTCTCTCTCTCTCTCTCTCTCTCCCGATCATCTTCTACTTGGAAATGGACCTTGATACTCTTTTAATTATATGTATAAGTCTATGGTTTGGATTGTAATTAGGGATCCTATTAAGGACAGTTAAGATTCATTCTCTCTCCATCGATGCTGGTTGAGAATGGATATGCTACTTACTGCTATGCTTTTAATTTGAGACTGTTATGGTTACACCTTCTGATGCTGTTAATTCGAGACTGTTATTTCCTCTTAAGTTCAAATTGTTGTCATGGCCAACTAGCTAGGGTAGGGGAAATGCCCCGTGATTTCTCAAACATTTAGAATTAATGAAACAACTGTTGAAGAATCCAATCCGATGAAATAACTGTTGAAGAATATTGAAGTAGAAACTTACTAAATAACATACAATATATAATGAATGGTTCAATTACTAATATTATCGGGACCTTTTGTATAAAACCTTACACATACCGTATATGTGGGTGGTTAAATTAGGGGCAATATCAATGAGGAAATTAAGAAAATTACTATAAATAAATACCCATCTATTCCTAAACTACCTCCATAAGACCTAACCAAACTTACAAACCCATTAAGAGGCCTATAGAGAGGAAATTTTTTTGCCCACGGGTCAAAGTAGGTAGCCCGAAGCCCAACAAGCTTGGCCTGGCCCAATGGTTAGAATAGATCGGCCCGGCCCACTCTAAGGTTGGGTAGGATTTGGGCTTAAAATTTGAAGCTCACGACCCGACCTGACCTAGGACAGCCCAAGGCTTGCTTGTCTATGTCCTTCTTTTTTAAAGATTTAATTGATGCACTCCATAACCTCATTTTATACTTAATCAAAATAATTTAATATGTATGATAAACTAATGAACTTCTTATTTTGTTTACACATGCATGTTATAAATTAAGTTAATTTTTTCAATGTTGTTTAAAAATTTGTAACAAACAAGCAATATATACAATAATCTTTTAGTGCCCATTTTTTGTCAAGTTCAAATTTAATGGTTCAATAAAGAATTTGAAAGCTTATTTTGGCTTTATTAATTATAATGGCAAAATTGCTTTAATTTTCATAATATAAATCCTAATTTGGGATAGACATAGAAGTAACTCATTTTCATAAAATTCATTTTTAGGTATAATATTTTTATTATAAAATATATTGACTATTGGTGTAGGTTTAGTAAAAGAGTTTGGTTATTATATTTTTGTTTTCTTAAGTTATGTAGTAATTTATACTATTGTTTAAGAGAAAACTCTTTAAGACAAAAAATATGTTACAAAAAAAAAAAAAAAGACTTAGAAATTTAATTAATTATTATAAAAAAAGCCCGACCTGGTCGGATAGTGTGGTCCAAATCAAGCCCTTTGAAACCTTGGCCCGATTCAAAAATTTAAAAAGCCTGTAAAACCCAGCTAGAACTCAAACATTTCGGCCTAACCCGACCCAATGACGAACCCTATCAATGAAGTGTCAACATTAGAAAGCAACCAAGAAAAAGTTCACATTAACGGTAGCCGTACCAACAACAGTGTCAATGAACCAACAAAATCTATAAACAAACTAATCCCAGCAGAGAACAAATCAGCGAGTATTGAAACAAGCATTACAAACGGAACCTTGAGCAATCGACCTACATCACCTAATTCACTTTAAACAAAGAATACCATCTTAACTACTAGCATTTTCTTTAGGAAGCTAGGGATTGATCTCTTATACAATATACATTTAATACATAAACAAATAAGTGAAGTATGAGATAGCATCTACATAACTTTTTTGCATAGAAACGATGAGTTTATCTTACACAATTAGATAAACTAAACACTTTAAGCACATCTCAAAATTGTAGATACGAAGGAAATCAATAAGACGATCTTCCATCACCTTCCGTTATCACATCTTTGAAAGCACCACCGCTAGGAATCATAGGTAAGACATGCTCTTGATGGGGCACTATTACATCCAACAAGTATGGACCAGGAGTGTCCAACATTTTCTGAATTGCTTCCTTCAGATGCTCCTTCTTCGTCACACGCGCAGCTGGTATCCCACAAGCTGCTGCAAACTTGAGCATATTCGGGAATATCTCAGACTCGTTTGATGGGTTCCCTAAGTAAGTGTGAGCCCTGTTCGCCTTATAAAAGCGATCCTCCCACTGAACCACCATACCCAAATGCTGATTATTCAACAGCATTATCTTAATGGGAAGATTCTCTACCCTGATAGTTGCCAATTCTTGGACATTCATCATGAAACTCCCATCGCCATCGATGTCAACAACAATTGCATCTGGATTTGCAACAGCAGCCCCGATGGCGGCAGGCAATCCAAAACCCATAGCCCCTAATCCCCCTGATGTCAACCACTGGCGAGGCCTCCTGTATTTGTAAAATTGAGCTGCCCACATTTGATGCTGCCCAACTCCAGTGCTTATAATTGCATTCCCATCCGTTAATTCGTCAAGGACCTGAATCGCATACTGAGGAGGAATGGCTTCCCCAAAAGTCTTATAACTCAATGGAAACTTCACCTTCTGCTCTTTCAGCTCCTCCCTCCAAGCTGAGAAATCTAGTTTAAGCTTGCTTCCTTTGCCTTCCAATATTCGATTTATCCCTGCCAATGCCAACTTCACATCTGCACAAACTGACACATGAGGCTGCTTATTCTTTCCGATCTCTGCTGAATCAATATCAATGTGAACAATCTTAGCGCGGCTAGCAAATGCTTCGAGCTTCCCTGTAACACGGTCATCGAACCTCACCCCAAAAGCAAGCAACAAGTCAGACTTATCCACAGCATAATTAGCGCACACAGTCCCATGCATCCCAAGCATTTGGAGGGACAATTCGTCAGAGCACGGGTACGCCCCCAGACCCATCAAAGTACTCGCAACGGGGATCCCGGTAAGCTCCACAAATCGCCTCAACTGGTCGCTCGAGTTCAAACACCCTCCACCAACATACAAAACCGGCTTCTTAGACTCTGATACCAACCTCACAATCTGGTCCAAATGGGACTCAGAGGGGGGCTTGGGCAACCTAGACATGTAGCCGGGTAGACTCATGGGTTGGTTCCAATTGGGAACTAGAAGCTGTTGCTGTATATCTTTGGGTATGTCTATCAAAACCGGGCCTGGTCGGCCTGAGGTGGCCAAGAAAAAAGCCTCACGAACAATTCTAGGAATTTCCTCTACATCAAGAACAAGGTAATTGTGTTTGGTGATGGATCGGGTTACCTCAACGATGGGTGTCTCTTGAAAAGCGTCGGTGCCGATCATGCGGCGGGGGACCTGTCCAGTGATAGCGACCACGGGGACGCTGTCGAGGAGTGCGTCGGCGAGGCCACTGACCAAGTTAGTGGCACCAGGGCCCGAGGTAGCAATACAGACACCGGGGAGGCCGGAGGAGCGCGCGTAGCCCTCGGCAGCGAAGACGCCACCTTGCTCGTGGCGAGGGAGGACGTTGCGGATGGTGGAGGAGCGCGTGAGGGCCTGGTGGATCTCCATGGATGCGCCTCCAGGGTAGGCGAATACGTCGGTGACGCCTTGGCGTTCAAGGGCCTCCACGAGGACGTCCGCGCCCTTTCTTGGCTCATCAGGGGCATATCGGGAAATGAAAGTTTGTGGGTCTGAAGTGGTGGTAATAGGGGTGGTGGTGATGCTGCCGGTGCTCGTAGCTTTGGGTTTGGGTTTGGGAGAGAGAGAATTGGAGATGTGGAGAGGGCGGTAGAGAGTGGGCTTCTGGGGAATAGGGGAAAAGGGGCGGGTAAATCTGGAAGTGTTGTTTTGGGAATTTGTTGAAGAAGGGAGAGGAGAGGGATTTGACAAGGAGGAAGAGGATGGAGCGATGGCCGCCATTTTTGACAAGATGAGAGCCTGAGAATCGAAGAGGGTGAATCAAGATTCAAGGATGGAGTTTTGTTTTGTAAATGAGAAGGGAGACGAAGTAGGGTCGGCGCCTCAAACTCAAACATTGGGTCTACGGCCCACAAGCCCGATGATCGTTGTTGGATCCGATGGGCTGCTGTCCTGCACAAGCCTATTCGTGGGCCTCATACTTACTTATCTGGTATGTTTTTCAGATTACTTTGTTAGAGTGATTCTATAGTGAAGGCGGTATCTAATGTTGTTAGATGATGTCTTATTTTTTAATCGTTGGATTAAATTGATTAATTTGATCAAACGGTTAAGAAATAGCGCCTCATCCCACTATAGAATTCTACTACTTTTGTTATTCTTTTCCACACACTTGGAGGAGTGACAGGAGAAGCACAAATTGGAGCTAAAATCTCTGTTTTTTGCTCCCCAAACACATTCCTGGCTGATGCGTGGCTCAACTTCCTTGAAACTCTGTTGGTTGTATGCTAAAATCTCTGTTTTGGTAGCTCTCACTGCTTAGGAATGGTAATGGTATAACCTTTCTGGAAACTGTCATCTCATATCACTGATAGTATTATTTATTTGAAGGGTTTCAAATTAACTCTTGTAACAGCAAACAGCCAAGTTATTAAAGAAGAACAAATTTTGATAATGATCATCGAGCAAATTGGATGTCAAGGATATGCAGAGCATGATAATTTTGGGCGGAAGAACATATATAGTTTGACAGACACTAAAACCGTAGGTTATGTTATGGTAGGTCTCTATGTATAAAATGAAAAGCAGCTGCAATTCCATTCAAGGATTAAGGTTAAATGCCTTAGAAAGGACGGAATGTGATATACAATGCACTTGAATTTTGAGTGGAGCGGCAAGAGGAAACTTAAAATTACAGGGTTGGAGCTCTTTCCACAGAGCCACCTATCACAGTAAGCAAGTTGTTGCCGAAGGGATCACTGAGATGCTTTGCTAGGTTTTCGACAGGACCTTCTCCTGTGACATAAGCTTGCAGGAAGAAACCAAGCATGGAAAACATGGCAAGTCTTCCGTTCTTAATCTCCTTCACCTTTAGCAATGCAGCCTGGTCTGGATCCTTAGCGAGCCCCAATGGGTCAAAAGGACCACCTGGGTGAAGCTTGTCCTCCAAATCCTACCAGGAAAATCACACAACAGAGTCATGAGATTGTCATCCTTAATACACGTAATCCTTTCTTTTTTATTGATTGCGTTATTATTTTTCTTAAAAGGGCATATATATCTACCAGCATATGCATGAGCTGTATCCTACTATTATTGTCTTCAACCTCAGATTTTTCAAATTGTCTCATGAAGCAAGTGAAATTTTGGCTTTAGTTTAAGGGATTTG